CCAAGAGGTGACTACAGCTGGACCGCTTGGTAATAGTGACAATAATATAATTAAATTTAACATCCCTGTGGCAGGGAAAACAACACAATGGCCCAACACTGTAGCATTTAATTTCAGAAAAGGGAACCACACAAAAATGAGGAGGTTAGTTTAACAAAAATTAAAAGGTACAGCACCAAAAGCAAAATCCTTGCAAGCTGCATGGAAACTTTTTAAAGACACCATAATAGAGGCTCAACTTAAAATGTATCCACCAAATTAAAAAAAAAATCATAAGAGAAACAAAAAAGAGCCACTATGGCTAAACAACAAAGTAAAAGAAGCAGTGAGAGGCAAAAAGGTATCCTTTTAAAAAGTGGAAGTTAAATCCTAATAAGAAAAATAGAAAGAGCATAAACTCTGGCAAATGAAGTGTAAACATATAATTGGAAGGCCAAAAAAGAATTTGAAGAACAGCTAGCCAAAGACTCAAAAAGTAATAGCAAATTTTTTTTAAAGTACATCAGAAACAGGAAGCCTGCGAAACTGGGGCCACTGGATGATTGAGGTGCTAAAAAGAGCACTCAAGGACAATAAGGCCATTGCAGAGAAACCAAATGAATTCTTTGCATCAGTCTTCACAGCTGAGGTTGTGAGGAAGATTCCCAAACCTTAGCCATTCTTTTTAGGTGACAAATCCGAGGAACTGTCCCAGATTGAGGTGTCATTAGAGGAATGTTTTGGAACAAACAGATAAACTAAACAGTAATAAGCCACCAGGATTGTATTCACCCAAGAGTTCTGAAGGAACTCAAATGTGAAACTGCAGGACTACTAACTGTTATCTGTAACCTATCATTTAAATCAGCTTCTGTACCAAATGACTGGAGGATAGCTAATGTGACACCAATTTTTTAAAAGGGCTCCAGAGATGACCCCAGCAATTACAGGTCGGTAAGCCTGACTTCAGTAGCGGTTGAAACTATAGTAAAGAACAAAATTGTCAGACACATAGATTAACATAATTTGTTGGGGAAGAGTCAACATGGTTTTTGTAAAGAGAAATCATGCCTCACCAATCTACTAGAATTCTTTGAGGGGGTCAGGTCAACAGGCATGTGGACCAAGGGGGATCCAGTGGATATAGTGTATTTAAGATTTTCAGAAAGCCTTTGATAAGGTTCCTCACCAAAGGCTCTTAAGCAAAGTAAGCAGTCATGGGATAAGAGGGAAGGTTCTCTCATGGATCGGTAACTGATTAAAGGATAGGACACAAAGGGTAGGAATAAATGGTCAGTTTTCAGAATGGAGAGGTAAATAGTGGTGTCCGCCAGCCGTCTGTACTGGGCCCAGTCCTATTCAGCAGATTCATAAATGATCTGGAAAAAGGGGCAAAAAGTGAGGTGGCAAAAATTGCAGATGATACAAAACTACTCAAGATAGTTAAGTCCCAGACAGACTGCGAAGAGCTACAAAAAAGGATCTCTCAAAACTGGGTGACTGGGCAACAAAATGGCAGATGAAATTCAATGTTGATAAATGCCAAGTAATACACATTGGAAAACATAATCCCAATTACACATATAAAATGATGGGGTCTAAATTAGCTGTTACCACTCAAGAAAGAAATCTTGGAGTCATTGTGGATAGTTCTCTGAAAACATCGACTCAATGTGCAGTGGCAGTCAAAAAAGTGAACAGAATGCTGGGAATCATTAAGAAAGGGATAGATAATAACACAGAAAATATCATATTGTCTCTATATAAATCATTGGTATGCCCACATCTTGAATACTGCATGCAGATGTGGTCACCCCATCTCAAAAAGTATACATTAGAATTGGAAGAGGTTCAGAAAAGGGCAACAAAAATTATTAGGAGTATGGAACAGCTACTGTATGAGCAGAGATTAATAAGACTGGGACTTTAGCTTGGAAAAGAGATGACTAAGGCGGGATATGAGAGAGGTCTATAAGATCATGACTAGTGTGGAGAAAGTAAATAAGGAAGTGTTATTTACTCCTTCTCATAACACAAGAACTAGGGGCCACCAAATGAAATTAATAGGCAGCAGCTTTAAAAAAAACAAAAGGAAGTATTCACAAAAAGCACAGTCAACCTGTGGAACTCTTTGAAGATGTTGTGAAGGCCAAGACAATAACAGGGTTCAAAAAATAACTAGATAAGTTCATGGAGGATAGGTCCCTCAATGGCTATTAGCCATGATGGACAGGGATGATGTCCCTAGCCCTGTTTGCCAGAAGCTGGGAATGTGCGACAGGGGATGGCTCACTTGATGATTACCTGTTTTGTTCATTCCCTCTGGGGCACCTGGCATTAGCCACTGTCAAAAGACTGGATACGGGGCTAGATGGACCTTTAGTCTGACCCAGTGTGGCCACTGTTATGTTCTAATGGATATTTCTGAAAACCATTATCTGGTTTGTTTATATTGTGGCAGATTCTAGGGGCCTTTACTAGGTTGAGGCCCCATTGTAATGTGCAGAGCACAAACACAGAAAATGGCATTCCTTGACCCAAAGAGCGTACAGTCTAAGAAATCTTACTAAAGATTACAATCTAACAGTTTTACTAAAGAATGGCATACTATTTCTCCATTTCCATTTGCCCTTTATTTCAGATATAGTAGGGTCTATACCTGCTTTCTAAGTAAAGGTAATTAAGATAAGTACATTTAATTGGGAGTTCTCCCATCCACAAGTGCCCTGGAGTATGATTTCCCCAAGCATCCTTGGTTCAGGTGAACATTGTCATAATCCTTATAGCATGAGCCTGACCATCTCCTAGTAAATGCCAAGAGGACGAATCTTGATGCCCTGACTCAGTTTTGCCCCATTCCTTACTCAGGTCTCATTGATTTCAATAACTATAACTAACTTACGTGGTAGACAGTGTCAATACCTTTCAATGTGTTTAAGAAACTTGATCTGACAATAGCAGCATGCTCAAAATGCCAATGAGTAGCGAGCCTAGGTGTATCTGAAATTCCCATCTTAAACACCACGAGAGAAAAGGAGTCTATGTGGTAGCATCATTGCCACTGTAACACTATCAGTCTCTGAAGAGCTGAAAATAAACTGTGCTCTGAAACTTTACTAAGGAACCTCAAGACATTGGCATGGTTTGGTGCTACCGTAGAATCTAACAGTAAAAGTCTCCCTCCTACCACCAAGATTGGGGTTATATAGTGTTGTACGTAATACTAAACTTTGATTGCACACACGCTCAAAACTACAATCACAATATACAGAGTAAATTATCTATCACTAAGTTTGCATATACAAAACATTCCATTATAGTGTTTTGGTTTGGGTATTTTTAGAAAACAAACATCAAGAAAAAAGAAAAGGAGGACTTGTGGCACCTTAGAGACTAACCAATTTATTTGAGCATGAGCTTTCGTGAGCTACAGCTCACTTCATCGGATGCATACCGTGGAAACTGCAGAAGACATTATATACACACAGAGACCATGAAACAATACCCCCTCCCACCCACTGTCCTGCTGGTAATAGCTTATCTAAAGTGATCATCAAGTTGGGCCACTTCCAGCACAAATCCAGGTTTTCTCACCCTCCGCCCCCCCACACACAAACTCACTCTCCTGCTGGTAATAGCCCATCCAAAGGTCACTTACAGTTGGCAAGCTTTGCATAGTAATTAGAAAATGCTGTGAATACTGTACCCACAGATGTGCAATGCAATGCAAACAGCTACATTTAGGAGATTGCTTATCAAATACCGGGATCAGACAAAGCCCTCACAGAAGTTGAGTGGGAATGGTTTCTGGGTAATGACTGCAATATTAGGTTCCACAGTTTATAGGCAGTAGCGATGAAGACAATCTGGAGTGGAGATTGCTTCCAGCAAGAGGGAGAAACCTCTCTCAATAAGAGAATGAAGATATCAAGCAGGAGGTCTTTTGTAAAGATCTATATGTAAGATACTGACAAAGTATCTTGTCATTGGATACCGACATTGGATTCATACCTGAATTCATTGGAGTACAACTGCCTACTTCTGCTACTAGCTAACGGAATTCCTTCTTTAGCTCATGTGATCTGCAATGGGATGCTACAGTTTCTGGATTCAAATTCTGAAAGTCCATTGGGGAGGGTGTTCCATATATATTTAAATGAGCCTTTTCATTAACAGAAACACATGTTCATAATCCATTCATTGTTTAAATATCATACTGGAAATTTGTATATTAAACTTATTTTCCAGCCTAACTTGTAGTTTATCAGTTTTGTTTAACCTCCTTTTTGTACACCAAATCTATTTGTATTTCTTATGCAAATTTGGAGATTCTGATATACAAGGATCTGACCTGCAAAATTTTCATTTGAATTTGACTCCCTAGATAAAATCCAATCACTATTGTTTTGAGTACAGTTATATCCTAAACCAGTAGACCCCATTCTCTGGAACTGGTGAGATCAACCCAGGATGATGGAAGTCTTGGAAGATTTTTCCAATGATCAGTTGAAATTTGAAGAGAACATCTTGCTAGATTTCAGTGCCATTGAACCTGAAATATTACATTGGCTTGGCCTTGAGCCCAAAAGTGAACACTAGCCTTAAATCTAATCGATAGCGAGTTCAGAACACTGATTTCCTTGGCCTACCACCAGTTGAAAACACATTTTAGTGGGTTTCAATATCTTTAGCGTTTTGCAAGAAAAACAAGACAACATGCTTCAACAACATTACATTTTCAGTTAGTCTTTTTGTGATGTATTTGTAAATTAAGTGCTTTGTTTTCTAGTGGTTACATATGTGTTAATGTTCAGACAGCTAGAAATATCAGAAATAGTTCTAATTTGAATCAACTGTAGAAAAGAGCTTCTACCGTACGTAAGTGGAATTTTCATTTAAGGAATTTGGAAATTAAAAGGGTTCTTATTTTAAATAACTTTATCTAGAGAAGGAAGAAATGAAAGGAATGTACAAAAATGTATATGGAATGAACATAACATCTGTCCTAATCTGCTTTTCAGGAACCTCTCCAGACACTGATTTGGGTTAACCAACTCACGCAGCAGAGCTTTGTACAAGCACTCGGAACAAAGGAGAAAAGTGAAGAGATTCTGAAAAGCATCTTCCATATTCTGAATGTCCAAAAGTTTCAACCTAAACTTTAAATTTTTACTTTTTTTTTCTTGATACTGATTTATATATTCAATCTTTTGCTATTTTAAGGGGTTAGGCAGTTGAACTTACTAGCAAACCAACATGGCTAGGATTAGATTGGTTTTAATAGCTTGCCTGTTGGTGCTAGAATTGCTAATGAATTCAGTAACTGAGCCTTCCATACAGAATAATGAATGTCCACAGCTTTGTGTATGTGAAATCAGGCCATGGTTTACACCACAGTCGACCTACAGAGAAGCTACAACAGTTGATTGCAATGACCTTCGTTTAACAAAAATCCCCAGCAATCTTTCCAGTGACACTCAAGTTCTTCTCTTACAAAGCAACAACATTGCAAAGACCACAGCTGAACTCCAACAGCTTTTCAATTTAACAGAGTTAGATTTTTCACAGAATAATTTTACTAGTATCAAAGATGTGGGGCTCTCAAATCTGACTCAGCTTACTACTTTACATCTGGAGGAAAACCAGATAACAGAGATGACTGACTACTGCTTGCAGGATCTTTGCAATCTTCAGGAACTATATATAAACCATAACCAGATTCGTAGCATCTCTGCAAATGCATTCTCTGGCCTGAGGAACCTTTTAAGACTTCATCTTAACTCTAACAAATTAAAGGTTATTGACAGTCGTTGGTTTGATTCTACTCCTAACTTGGAGATCCTTATGATTGGGGAAAATCCAGTGATTGGAATACTAGATATGAACTTCAAGCCACTCTCAAATTTAAGAAGTCTGGTTTTGGCAGGTATGTACCTCACTGATATTCCTGGAAATGCATTAGTAGGCTTGGATAGTCTTGAAAGTCTTTCCTTTTATGATAACAAATTGGTCAAGGTTCCTCAGCTTGCTCTTGAGAAAGTTCCAAATTTAAAATTCCTTGACCTCAACAAAAACCCAATTCACAAAATCCAAGAAGGTGACTTTAAAAATATGCTGCGGTTGAAAGAACTTGGGATCAATAATATGGGAGAACTAGTTTCTGTTGATAGGTATGCACTAGACAACCTACCTGAACTGACAAAGCTTGAAGCTACCAACAATCCAAAGTTGTCTTATATACATCGTTTAGCATTTCGTAATGTTCCTGCTCTCGAAAGCCTGATGCTGAACAACAATGCTTTGAATGCAGTCTACCAAAAGACAGTGGAATCCCTTCCAAATCTGCGTGAGATCAGTATTCACAGTAATCCACTCAGGTGTGACTGTGTCATTCACTGGATCAACTCAAACAAAACCAATATCCGTTTTATGGAGCCTCTATCAATGTTTTGTGCTATGCCACCAGAATACAGAGGACAACAGGTGAAAGAAGTGTTAATACAGGATTCAAGTGAACAATGTCTTCCAATGATTTCCCATGACACTTTTCCAAATCATTTGAATTTGGACATTGGCATGACAGTGTTTCTAGATTGTCGAGCCATGGCAGAACCCGAACCAGAAATTTATTGGGTAACTCCACTTGGAAATAAAATAACAGTTGAAAGTCTCTCAGACAAGTACAAGCTGAGTAGTGAAGGTACCCTGGAAATCTCGAATATTCAGATTGAAGACTCTGGAAGATATACATGTGTTGCTCAGAATATAGAAGGGGCTGACACAAGAGTAGCTACTATAAGAGTGAATGGAACTCTTTTGGATGGTACACAAGTGCTGAAAATATATGTCAAGCAAGCTGAATCTCACTCGATATTAGTTTCTTGGAAGGTTAATTCCAATGTCATGACCTCCAATTTAAAATGGTCATCAGCCACTATGAAGATTGATAACCCTCACATTACATACACTGCGAGGGTCCCAGTTGATGTACATGAATATAACCTCACTCATTTGCAGCCATCCACAGATTACGAGGTCTGTCTAACTGTATCAAATATCCATCAGCAAACTCAAAAGTCATGTGTTAACGTTACAACAAAAAATGCAGCTTTTGCCCTTGACATTTCCGACCAAGAAACCAGTACCGCCCTTGCAGCTGTAATGGGTTCAATGTTTGCTGTGATCAGCCTTGCCTCCATCTCTGTTTATATTGCTAAAAGGTTTAAGAGAAAAAACTACCACCATTCGTTGAAAAAGTATATGCAAAAGACCTCTTCAATCCCACTGAATGAGCTCTATCCGCCACTTATTAATCTCTGGGAAGGTGACAGTGAAAAAGACAAAGATGGTTCTGCAGAGACCAAGCCAACCCAAGTCGACACATCCAGAAGCTATTACATGTGGTAACTCAGAGGATATTCTGCTTCTGGTAGTAAGGAGCACAAAGGCTTTTTTGCTTTATTCTGCAAAAATGAAAAGTTGAAGACATTTGTATTTTTTTGACTTTGCTAGTTTGTGGCAGAGTGGTGAGGACAGGTGGATATTTCAGAATTTTTTAGTATAGCGTATCGCAATTGTTTGACACAAATGGCAGCTTCACCTAGCTTCCAATTTCTTTTTTTTAGTTGTGCTAAACTTAATGCTGTTCTAACTACAGTACTGAATAAAATTAATGACAGGCTGGGGTTACCTTGTGATTCACAACTAGCAAAGCCCCTTTCTTCTGAGGCCATCAGTAGAGAGTACAGTATCCTGCAACAGCTAACATACAGTTTTGAAATGGCATTGAACCAGTTTTGTAACACTCTGGTCTGAAGACTCAAACTGAGAAAAGAAGACTAGATCTTCAGTGATGTTAGTTGACTGTACTGTAATGTTGTATCAACTGATTTGAATGTTTTTGACTTTAAACAATGACTTTTTTCTTTTTTGTAATAGTTGAAAAGGCTTAGGTAAACCTAACAGGCAATAGAAATATGTACATCTGATTTTTTTTCAAATGTAACAAACTAAATGTTAATTATCTTATTCTTTTTATTATATTTAGTAGACACTTTTAAAGAATACTAGCCTTTTGTTGTGCTTAATCCACCAACACATGGTGTATAATGAAGGCAAAACTATAATAAATTACAGTTTTGTTCTGATTTTTTTTAAAACAGTCACAATAATGTATTGTTTTTAGTTGTCACTAGTTTGACAGATGATCATGTTTGGATATAAAATATATCCAAATTATTATGTAAAATTGTGGGGGTGTTAAAGTCAGATTTCAACAGATTTTCAGTTTTTGCTCTAAAGAAGAAATATCTATTTTAACTGGGATTTTTTTCTGCACTGTTTTTCAATATTAAAAACAAAGTACTTCAGAGTACCTAATCAGAAAGATATCAAGCAGAATAAGGGCTGTAACTGTATCACATGGAAAATCAGAACTGCCTCAATGCAAGGGACTAGACTAGAGGACCTCTCGTGGTCTCTTCCAGCCTATATTTCTATACAACTTAGGTACACATCAAGAAAATACATTGAAGTTGGCCCATTTTCCTTTCTGTACACATTTTTGTTTATATTATAAGCTAAGTCATACATGAAGCAAGTGTTTGGCTGTCACTGACAATTAAAGAAGAAAGGCAACTCAACATCACTAAATCAATTATAATAGTATAATTATAATAGTCCACAAATGTTTACCTGTAAAAAAAAATCCATGTTATTTGGATTAGTGTATTTTAAAGTATCAATTAGGGTATTTACAACTCTGATACAATATCTTATGTGGGATGGGGGATTAACAGCCAATATCTATTTTATAGACTTTCATATCTGTAGTTCAAAATATTTTACTAAATTACAGAATAGTTTAAGATGGTACAAAATTACAGACAACAGTGGTGTGAATATATGAATAATTTAGGGCTGGATTTTCAAAAGCACTCAACCTTGGCCTTTCTACTCTCACTAAAATCCTTGACAGGGACTGTTCATTGTGAGGTCACAAAGGGGACAGGGTTTCTAATGAAGCATCTTTTGTAGTCATGCCAGATGCCAAGTGAGAAGCAGAAAATTTTGTGTAGTATATTAATTTTCTACTACCCCTCTTCTCCTTACCCAAAAGGTGGCTAAGTGCTGACTCTGCAATGATCATTAACTATGTGCAACGGGATGTTTTTGCATACCGATGAGCTATTTTTGAGTTAATGATGAGCACAAATAAATTGTCTGAATGCTGAAAATGTAGTTTTATTTAAAAAAAAAATTCTTCAGTAATTCAAAAATGACATTTCCCTAAAACTTTCTGGTATGAAACTATCCACCCTTGTCTCAAGCTCAAAGAATTTTTCTTCAGACAGTTATGTCTGAATGAGAGAAATAAAGTCTCAACATCAACCTAAGCAGTGGAATAAATTGCCTAAGGAGGCTGTGAAATCTCCATCATTGTCTAACCTGCTCTTAAAAATCTCCAAACACCTGTCAGGGATGGTCTACTTTAGTCCTGCCACGAGTGCAGGGAACTGAACTAGATGACCTCTTGAGGTCCCTTCCAGGCCTACAATTCTATGATAATCTTTCATATAAGTTTCACTGCTGCAAAAGCTTCAATATAATAATTTTATATAGGTAATGTATAGCTTCCTAAATCTCATATTTTAATTAAAGAGTTTGGTAAAACTATTGGTTTTCATGTCAAAAATCCTGAACTTATATAAAATTCTTTATATGGTTATGAAATCTCAAATCTTTACCTACATGCCTCCTGTATATGGGTTTTTTAAGTGTTTCCTTTATTTTGTGGAGAGGAAATGAGGTGGGGAACTCTACTATGTCTACTTCTTAATGTCAATTTCTGCCTCTTTCTGATGTGCAGCTTTAGAGCAATAATTACCACCTTGTTTACATGTAGTTATAAACTAGAGTTGCCATTGCTCTGATAGCAGACTTGATTAAAAGTGGGATCTGCTCTGCAGTGGAGATGCACTCTTGGATTCTTCAATGTAAAGGACACAGTAAGGACAAGGTTGACAGAAAATTATGGCTTCCCACTTGCGTGGCCTCATCAAATAGTCTTTACAAAATAATTCACTGAGTGTTAGATGCTGCAGCATAGGCCTCCTCACCATCTCTTCAGCAGCACTGCATAGCTGTAGAATGATACTCAAAGTATAAGATGACCACAAAGACAATGCTATTGTACCTGAACCTCCTATCTGAACTAGTGCAGGAACAGGCTAATTTGTGTCTACAGCTTTTGCAGTGTAATGGGCTATGAAATAATGTTCACTGTGTTTTCTGTTGAGAAATCATGGGCCAGTGGTAGCACACAAATACCTCATCCTGGATGGTATTTGTTACCTTCCTAAGAAGCCATGACATCAAGGAAGAAAGGGCAGGAGACAAGTCATGCAGTAATTTTGTCATGTAGCTTCTTCAATGTATTTCAGTTTGTAATTTTTTCCAGGTTGTCCATGCTAATGGGCACAAGTCTCTGGGTGAAAGATCTGGGTTACTACACAGATGAATTGAAAAGTGGGAGGCACCAAGTGTGTGGTCTATATTATCCACAAATAGCCACTGCCTATATGTACTTCAGTCTAGTAACTCAGACTGAGAAGTTAGGATATATCTACACTGCAATGTAAGCCTCTGCTTGAGCCCTGACTCCAGGCTAATCTCCCTTGCACTTACATTGCAATTACACTAACCCAGGACTCAGACCCTGGGTCTCAAGCCCCTGCAGGGCTGGAGGGTCCAAGCTCAAGTCAAGCTGGGACCCAGGGTCTGAGACCTATTATTCTGCAGTGTAGCCACAGTCCTGCTTGCCTCAGGCCCTGGGTGTCATCCAGAAGTAGCCCACAATTCCATGAGAAGACTTTCTCAGACCTCTCTAGCCCAAGAATCTGCAGTCCACTCTATTGAAAATGGAAGCCCCTGCCCCCCACCTCCTTGGCAAATGGTAGCAGGTCAAGTTAGTGTTAACCCATTCTGTTCTCATCACTGATCTGCAAGCATGACATTATAGAGCTTCCTAGGTTTGCAATGGAGAGTGAACTCGTCAAGCCTTCTGCAAAGCGACATGCAGGGTGAACAGTAAAGTTTTCCCACAGTGCACCATATTCCTAGGGCTACAGCAGCCACATTTTGGGATGGGGTGGCGCTAGGGATTCTGAGATATGGTTACTTTGACTCAGATCTGTGCACTGTAGTGTGGACACCAAAGCCCTAAATTCAAGCAAGGGTCAGAAAATTCTTAACGTAGGTTTAAAATACAATGTAGATGTTCAAGGCCAGGGTTCAGAAAACATGGGTCAGCTGACTCTAGCCCCACTAACCCTGGGCCTAAATTGCGGTGTAGACATACCCTTAGTCACTACTACTTGGAGAACTGTATATAGTTCTATGGAGAATTAGGTTCTGCCTATAACAGAATTCACTAATTAGAGATTAGTCAGACATGTTGCACCTGATTTTAATAAATGACCTTCAACTTTGCATACACAATTTTGGGTTCACAATTTACTGTGGGCATAAATACAAGTATCTGTATGTTTACCTGACTGCATTCAAAATGCATTTGTGTCAGTCGTTCATTGTAGACCCAGCATTCCCCTCCTCACAACTGGAGGCTGAGTTAAGGTACTTTAAAAATGTAACTAATAATATGTTTTCCCCAACATTGTTAGCTTTCATTTAGCTAATGATTTATAAAATGTCTGTGGGCCAAGGATGAATATTTCACACACAACTGTAATCTTTTGCTAGTAGACTGTGCTATAATTAAAGTAGTTCTGTTCTTAAGAGTAACTAGCTCCTACAACTTGTGTTCCTAGGTATGTTAGCAAAAATGCATTTTTAATATTACCTAAATCATAATCCTGCTAGAATCAGAGGGCATTTTTGCCTGTGGACCAAAAAATAACACATGCAAATAGACTGATAGGTACATAGTTTCACACATGATTGCATGAAGACTTCAGGTCTCCTGGTTTCAAAATCTGTCCTGAAATGAGGCTTGGTTAATACACATTCATTTAGTTATTAAAAACCTCAGTTTATGGGAAAGAATGACCAGGTTGCAACTGGATGGTCACCAGTGTGGACAGTTTGGGCACTTAGTATGTAGATTTGAATGATCTTAGCTGTAGTTGATGCTTTTTAAGGTTCGATACATTTTGATTGACTAGAGATTTATAAGTGAACTGTTCAACAAAGTAGAGATGGGCGTATATCTCATGTCATGACTAGCCAGGTTTCTCATCAGGGCTGGTAAGTGATAAAAGGAGTTTCCCCATTGTAGGGGATGGTACAAACACTTTCAAGATGGACAGGCTTTTATGCAGACCTCTTGTTAAAAGAGCCAGCCACTGAGTCCTACAAAGGAGAACTCAACTTTTTTAAATCTCTAGCCCTACAACCCAGTGCAATTAGAGTGCCAAGAATAAGTGGAATGTGCAGCTAGGCACCACTCCTGCAGCAGCAGGTGGGCTTAAAGCACATCCCTCTGTGCATAGAGAACTGATCATGCTGGACAGAAAGTGTTGGGGGAGGAATGAATTCAGTAAAAACTGTTTCCCAACCTGCTCAAAAACATTAAGAGGGGATCCGCTTTTTAAAATCGCAAACTGTCCCTGAATTCACCCAGTACTGATGTCACCACACAGCTGCTGCAATGGGAACTACCATCTGCATTCCCCAGCATTGCCTTTACATACATATAGGGAATGCACCAGGCAAAGTAGGTAACCACCCATTGGCTGCTCAGCTACCAAGAAATGTGGGAGTGGGAAGAGCATACAACTGGTGGGGGCTTTTTGTTTTGGAGGAGCAAAGAGTATTTTACCTGGGAATGTCATATGTTTTTGAGCATGGGGCCTTGTTAAAAACGTTGACAGCACATCCATGTAAAGGCGGGGGAAGCCGCAGCTGCCAAAAACTGCGCTGATTAGCCCTCATACTATTACACAAAAGACGCTGACATTTTGTCTCTCCCCTGTTTTTTTCTCCACTTTTAATCCATTCTTCCTTTCCTGTTTCACCCACGCATGTCATTTTTCACACTTGAAAGTCACTGTGCGCCCTCCCTGTAATCCTTCACGTTTCTTCCATTGTCTCCCCTTTCCCAGTCCCAGCATCCCCCCACACACACACACTGAAGGAACAA